AAAGTCAAAATTTTGATACGAATTGCATTAAATCTGTAGATCATTTGGGGTGCATTACCATCTTCATAATATTAAATGTACCAGTCTATAAACATGGGATGTTTATTTATTTAGGTTTTTAAAAATATTTGTTCAACAATATTTCATACAAATGTATAAGTCTTGCACTTCTTTAGTTAAATGTATTCCTAGGTATTTTATTCTTCAGATGTTATTGTAAACAGACTTGATTTATTAATTTTCATATTGTTCAATGCTAGTATATAGAAATACAACTGCTTTTTATATGAGGTCTATCTGGAAAAAGCCCAGCCATTGTTAATATAATGAGAACAATTTGCACAACACTGATATAACCTGGCATTCAAGGAGAGGGGAATGGAATGCTCATGCATGAACAATGATGACTTCACGTACTAGTCAGTGTTGGGACGGGGGCAGGCAGTAGGTGCCATTGAGTGAGCATGTGTACTGGGTGGCTGTCACATTCAAAATGACTGAGTGAGTAGAACTACAAATCTGCATCAAATTTCACATTAAGCTTGAACATTCCTCCACAGAAACTATTTGGATAATTCAGAAGGCTTTTAGGGAGGATGGGATGAGTGCAGCACAAATAAAAGTGTGGCATAAGCGCTTCAGTGATGGCTGAGAATCTGTTGAAAGCGATCCACAGTCTGGAAGGCCTGCAACAAGCACAACACCTGAGAATGTTGAACATATATGGGCTGCAATCGAGAAAGACTGGCAACTGACAGTGTGAGAACTAGAAGCTGATCTGGGGATTCCAAAAACTACCATGTCTGATATTTTGACATAGGGTCTTGGCATGAAGCGTGTTGTGGCAAAACTTGTTTTGTGGCTTCTACTATTAGAGCAGAAGGAACATCATGCTGCAGTCGCTAATGACTTGATTCAAACCATCACTGATGAGCTAGATTTCCTCAGGAAAGTCATAGCTTTGAAGGAGACTGAGGCATCATTGCCCCCTGTACAATGTTTCTTGTATCTTGTATCTTCTTCAATAAATGTCCCTATTTCTGGATACTCTACGGCAGATCTCGTTACTGATGTTATGTCCTGCCACCTTGCTGAACTGGTTCATTGGCTCAAATAGCTTTATTGTGTGTGTGTGTGTGTGTGTGTGTGTGTGTGTGTGACTTTTTAGCATTTTTATTTTGTTCCTGATCTTAGGGGAAATGCTTGCTGGTTTTTGCCAGTAAGTATGATATTAGGTGTGATTTTTTAATAGTTGCTTTTTATTATGTCAAGTAATTCCCCTTTTATTCTTAGTTTATTGAGTATTGAGTATGTTTTATCCTGAAAGGGTATTACATTTTGTCGGATGCTTTTTCTGCATCTATTGAGATGATCATATGGATTTCTCCCTTTATTCTATTAGTATACTGTATTACATTGGTTAATTTCTATTTGTTGAACCAACTATGCATTCCTGGAATAAATCCCACTTGCTCATGGTATATAATCTTTACACCATTATTTTTGAGAGCACAAGTTTTACTTCACCTCCTGTGTCACCCAAAGCAATCAGACAATACTGCAATTAGATAAAGAATTAGTGACCCGGACATCATTGTGCAATCATCATCATCATTACCATCACCATCAACATTAATATGAGCACAAGTTGATGACAGTCTGAACTAGAATGACAGGCCCAAATGAGAAATCATATTTTAAGGAATTAGATAAAATTTAAAGAGTATTGGCCACAGGGCATTATTGAATTTCATGATGTTCTTGAATAATTCTTCCATTCCTGGGGATAAGCCTTGCTTGGTCAAGATCCTCTATTCCTTATTTTAAAAAGTTTTAATGGAATAGAACATAGTCACTGGAAAAACAATATTTATCTTAAGTGTGCTGCTTAGATATCAAATGAGTGAACAAAACAAATTCAGAGACACAGACAAGAGGAGGGTGGTTACCAGAGGGAAACGGGGTGGGGGAAATGAAGAAGATAAAGTAAGTCAAATATATATTGGCAGAGGGAGACTAGGCTTTGGGTGATGAGCACCCAGTGCAGTACACAGGTGATGTATTATAGAATTGTACTCTTGGAACATAATGTTATTAACCATGGTCACCCTAATAAACTTAATTTTTAAGAAATCCAGCTCAAGGAATTCTCAAGGCAAAGCACCTGTTTAACTAGTACACAGATCAAAAAGCAGGCGTTCTTTTGCTTCTTGGTCTGTGTACTAGTGTAACAGGTATTTAAAGAGGGGGCCTTGGCAGCACCTTGTAATGCCCCTTCATGCCCCATCTCCCACCACCCAATAAGGATAACCACTGATCCTGTACAAAGATTTGTTTTCTATGAAATGCAATTACATATTATGAGGTGAGAACTTGAAATTTCCATGAAGATTTAAATATGTTATAATTTATCTCATTCTAGGAACGTGTAACTTCTTAAGTAAATTATAACATACATATCATGCTTTATTTTGGAATTGTCTATAGCTATACTGACCAGTACAACAGCCACAAGTCATGTAAAGCTTTTGGGCACCTGAAATGGGCTGTCTACACAATAGACTTCAATGACTCAGTACAAAACTAACATTTTATAATGTCTCAGTAATAATTTTTAAATAGCCATTACAGGTTGTAATAATAGTATTCTGGACATATTGAGTTAACTCAAACATATTATTAACAATATCATATGTTTCTTTTTAATGTGGCTACTAGAAAATTTTAAGTTACAGGTTTGGACCATAATTATATTTCCCCTGGACAATGATTGGTACTATGCAATGAAATAAAAGGACAGATTGTTTTAATATTTTATATGTACATTACTGACTTTTTTTTTTACAAAGATCATGCTGCACTACTTTGTAGTCTCTAGGACTGGCACATGCTTGACAAATAATGAATACTTCTTAACTGTTTGTTAAACTTTACACTTTGCTTTTTAGGTTAAGATTCCACCTTGTTTAGCTGCATCATGATGATATTCCTAAAAGATCAAGAAAAGATATGACAAAAGTCTGTATGGAAACTGAAAGAGGAGGAATTGGGTATAAAATATATTAGTTGGAGAATGTATATTTCTTTCATCAAAAAACAATTTCCTGAATTGTAATTCCTTGTAGAGTAACATGAAGTTTGTATGTTGAGTGCAGCATATGCATAAAGGAAGTACTTTTAAAGAGTGAATCCATTTTTATGTTAACACGAACTGTTACTTGTTTAGGTAATTTCTTTTTTTCTTTTTTGCTTGCTGGCAAAATAGTGTGAAACACTAATTAGTCACAACAGAAGTGTCACGCTACAGATTAATTATTTGTTTTATTGGATGAATGAAGAATTGTGATGTAAGACACCAGCCAAAATAGCCAGGTCCTGATTGGAGAATTGCTAAATATGATATTTTTCATTGTTTTAAAAGATTTTATTTATTTTTAGAAGAAGGAAAGGGAGAAAGAAGAAAAACATCCATGTGTGAGAGAGATGTCAATTGGTTTGCCTCCTGCACACCCCCAATTGGGGACCTGGCAGGCAACCCTGGCATGTGCCCAGACTGGGAACTGAACCGGTGACCTTCTAGTTCACAGGCTGATGCTCAATCCCCTGAGCCACACCAGCCAGGGCATGATATATTTTTTAAAACCATAAATTTTATATTATATATATTGAAAGATATAAAGTATAACTTCTCAGATTTCTTTTAGTGAGGAAAAATAGGCCTCAAAGGATCCTGGAGTCACCTTAAACTTCATGCGACTGAGAAACCTAGACCCTTCGGATCTTCCTTGAAGAGTTATCTTTTTGGCCGTGGGGTACAGAGACTCACTCAGTCCCTCCCCGAAGGATAGGTGTTTATGGTGAAAGGGTAAGAACACAGTTTGGGAAGCGGATGGATCCTGAGCGCGCCCAGCCGGGGGCCTGGACATTCATATCCCCCTGGGGAGCAGGTCTTTGTCGCTCGTATTCCCTCACTGGGTCTCAGCTTTTGTTAGAGCCCGCTTCTATCACTTCCGCCCCGCCCACCTCTGCTGCATCCTCGAGTTTCTGCTCACTCAGACGTTTTGCTTTCTGCAGGCCCATTTTCACTACTCCGCCCGAAGCCCTTTCTCCGCTTCAGCCTTTCTATCGGATGAATCATTCTCCCCTTCCAATTTTCAAGGGAGACTGACTGGCTTACCCGATTACCTTTTACTGTTCAGTGAGAACTGTTTGTTCCAGGTCACCTCCGAGGATGACGGCCAGTTTATGGACTGTGTGCTCTTGGGTCACATGATCACTCTTAATCCAATCAGTTATTGGAAGGGGTTGCTTTCTGGATAGTTGTTTGTACAACCTCTGCCCTGGGACGGTTTGGGTCAGTTCTCTCAACAGAGCCTCGGTTTCCTTTACAAAGGAAAGGAACTCCAGGTACAATACGAGCATATAACACACACGCGCGCGCTCACACGCACACACACGCACTTACTGATGAAAACAACTGTGGCTGAAATGTATGAGTAAGTTGACTGCATTATGCAATTAAATATAGGAAGTAATAAATGAATGGAAGAAACCTCTATTGACCCAGAATCAAGAACTGGCTTTGTCCAAGTAATTTCTTTGCAGTAGAACAAATAGGTTTTCAAGGTGAGTTTTGTTTTGCAAATCAGACCATTCTGCTGTCCTGGAGTTTTCCGGAGGTTCCTGCTCCTGGCGTACGGAACCAAAGTCAGGTTCCTCCTAGGAGACCTCAGCGTTCAGCACTTTGGGGGCGCTTCATTTCTTCTGTTATGGGAGAGATCTTGGCAGGAAACCACGCCAAGGACCAGATGCCTGGGGCTGGGGACCACTGGCTCTGAGTACCGCGGAAGAAAGGCGGCGGTAATCCAAAATCTGCGAGAGTTTCCCACCTGTCTGGAATCTGTCCCCTTAACAGGAGTCTCCCGAGTTTCTTCCTTTCAGGCTTGTCTCTGGGAATGTGGGCGGCCCTGTTCCGAGCGCAGGAACTCTTACTACCCCCTCCCCCCCCCTCCTCCCGCACACCACCAGCCTTTCTCTTTGCTTCAGTCACTTCCTTCCTCAGCCTCTTCCTCCCCTGGGCGGTGAATAAGATAACGTTTATTAGCTCCGGGCTAACGCTGCAGCACTTTTTCAGCGGAAAAGAAAAGGAGGCGGAGAGGTAAGTCAGTCCCCTGGGACGCTGTGGCCAGGTGTAAGGGATGGACCCGGTATCCGGTGGAGGCCAGGCCACGCCAAGCAGCTGGAGAATAGTGGGCAGCGGGTGGAGAGCCGGCATCCGGGAGGGGAGCGCGGCTGTTAGAACTGGAATCCGGCTGCGGCGGTGCAGGGGGCTGGTGGGCGCGCCCACCGCCCTACCGCTCCCGCAGACTTCCGCACTCCGCTCACGTGACGCTTTGCCGGCTCGGTGCGGACGGGGAAGCCCGCGCCTATGTGCCGATTTTTACCGCGGTGCCACGCGTCGCCTTTGCACTTGGCGGGGTCGGGAGGCAGTTCTGCAGAGCAGGGAGTGGAAGGGTTGGGGTTGCGGGGAGAGCCATCCCCGCATAGCCTCAGGACAGTGGGTTCTGCGGCGCGGGCGGTGGGTGCGGCTCTGTGCTCTCCCCATTGTACAAAGGGTCGGGGGGTAGTGAGGAGACACCAGGGGTTTGTGGAACTCGGAGTGGGGTCCGTTTTCCTTGTCCAGTTTGGGCGCTCAGTCTCACGGAGCACTGGGGCGCAGGGAGCATGGGGAGCGCGGGCCGGTGGCGCTGGAGTCGCGGAGACAAAGGCTTCCGGGACGTGGCCCTTCCCGGGAGGCCGCCCCAGAGCTCACAGGGATGTCCCGGAGCAGCGGGTCGAGCCCCGCATTCCTCAACTCCAGGGCGGGTAGTGATCGTGCGGAGGACAGGGTCTTGGGACCCCTTCCGGGCCAGCTCCCAAACCTGGAGCAGGGATGACCAAATATGGAGTGTGTGCGCGCAGGCGAGCCGGCAGGAAGGAACCCAGTCATCCTTTGACCAGCTTCAGCAGCTGGTCTCGAACTGCTTAGGAGGGCGGGGGAAAAAAGTGACCGGCCCTGGTAGGTAGAGTTGGCTCCTGATTCCCAGACACCCCGTTCAGGAGGCTTTAGACCTTGAATATTAGGAAATCTCCATGTACTGCCCCCAAACTTGTAAAAAAAAATTATAAGAGGGTCCTTGAATAAATGTATATTAATGGTGGAGCTTTTCATCAAATGCCCAGTCCTCTGACATTCTGCTTTCTTTGTAAGTCACAGGCACAATGCCTAATTACAATCTGTCACAATTAGAAGGCCCGCCTAGCATCTGCCACCGCCTTCCCAGTTCCCCTCGCTCGCCCAGCCCATCGACTGGCTCTTTCTTCCCCTTGACTTGCCCTCTTACAGCCTCCCTTGTTTGTTTTTGTTTTTGTTTTTTTTGTTGTTTGTTTTTGTTGTTGTTGTAGCTTACTTCAGTCCTAGGCCTGTGTCCTGCTAAAATGCTATGGGTCTTCCAAGGGTTGAGTAACACTATCCCCTCCCCCCCTTTGTCTCTGCTAAATAATGAAATTAAAAAATCGTGCCAAATTATGTATGGTAGCATGTTCTAACTTAGGAAGTACTCAATTTGTAGTATTTCATACAAATACAACTCTATTATATTTACTGCACCTTGAATAGTAATTAGCAAAGAAAAGAACAAGAGGGAGGGGGAGATGGAAGAGGAGGATGTGGTAGAAACAGCATTTAATTGCGGGGAGCCCCTCTGAGCCAGTTTCATCATTTATAAAATGGGGATAAATAATAAATACTTTGCAAGGCTCTTAGGATTATGAATTAACATAGATAAGGGGCCCCGTGTGTAATTAATTATAAAGAAATGCTGGTTGCCTTCCCTGCCCTTCTCAAAATTGGATGAGCGTACATCTGTTTGATATGATGCCGGTATTCACAAATACATAATAGTAGGATTTCCATTTTGAGTCTCATTATTAAAGGAGAACCATGTCTGAAATGTGTGGCTGGTGGTGGGTGGTAGGCATGGAGAATAGTGTTAGAGAAATTTTCAGAGTGGGAGGAAATCATAGAATCTGAGAACTAGGACTAGAATGACATTTCATTCTCCCTTGTGATCATTGTGGGCTGATTTCCTCACCAACACCCCCAGATCCATACCACTTGTGCATGAATGCTTCCAGGAACAGGGTGCCAACTTTGTACATTGTTAGGCAGTTTTGATTGTTAGAACAATGTTTTCTTATATGGCTACCAAATCTGCCGTTTTATTACATCTTTCTGTCCTGTCCAAGAGCAACACAAAACGAGACTATTCATGTAAGTACATAAAAGGAGCTTTAATTAAAAAAAATAGTGGTAGGTCTTTCCTAGGCTAACTTTTTGGGTTAAGAGTCCTTAATCAAGTGCAAGTGACAGAAATTCATTCAAACAACACAAGCTAAATCCGGGCAGTTGATTGGTTTGTGTAACGGGAAAGTCCAGGGTCATGTAGAGGCTCAGTCATTGTTATGTGGTTGGACTTCTGTTTCTACCAGGAACTTTATTCCTGGTAGATTTTCCCCATGTAGTAGCTGTGTACATCAAGGGCTCTAAACTTATACCATAGAGCCCAGTGGGACAGTGTAATTTTACTAATAGTTGTGGCAAAGTCCATGGGCTGAGCCTCTCTGTTCATGATGAGGTCACCTACCTGTGCCCCAAATCAGTTATTCTGGCTTTGAACCACTCCTGGAGTTTAGGGTGAGGCCCTATCCAAGATACATGGATTTAGAAGTAGGAAATAATTGATCCAAACAAAATTAGACTAATGGTGCCAGAATGGGGAATGGGTGCTGGGTAGGTACAAGTGACAGCTGTCCCCCACTCTGACATTTACAGGTGTTTTTTCTACCATAATTCTCATGGTAAGTCTTTTAGTTGTATCCTCTGTGTGTATTTTAGCTTATGAGTATCTTTCTCAAACTATATCATGAATTGACTATAATGTTATAGATAAAATTCACCAACATAAAGTTCCTAATATTTGGATGCTATAATTTTTATGTAGTTGCATTAACCTCAGATGTTGCATTTCATTGCAATACAAGCTTCTTAAATTATAATATCCACACATATAATGTAGCAGATGGCAGTTGTGCTTTTAATTATTGGCTGATGGAAAATCTGGGGTCCCAATCAGTATAGTTTAAACATGGATGCCATTCGTGTTTTTAAAAGCTACCAGGAATGGGTTACAATTTGTCTGGATAAAGTTTTTTCCATTTTGTCACCACAAAGTAAACCATTCACACAACCCCCTTTTTTGGTCCCTTGTTTGATTTGGAGAACTTCTGAGTAGAAGACCGATTGATGCAAACTTTCTGACCCCCACATTGTCCCCTTCACTGTGAATTACTCCCGTCTTATGGAAACTCCTCTTCTTTGATCCAAGTCGGTCAGAGTTCTCTGACCTCCACCTCTAACTACTTTTCCCTGTTCTTGCTGGTATTTCTCTCCTCTCACTTACATAGCTGTTTGCCAGGTCCCTTTACCCTCCCTTCACTTTCTCTGAGCGCTCTTCCTCCCAGAGCTGCTCTCTATCCCCCTCTTAAATCAGAAGCTTTATCAGGACAGCTCCCCCAGGCGTAGTTCCACCCTCTCTCCTGCCTTTGCTCCTTCTCTCAGTCCATGAAACCAAAAGTTATTGAGTCTGTCCTCTTGGTGCCAAACAATCCAGCAGAGAGCATTACAGTCAGCTCCCTGCCTAGAGAAGCTGAGTGCCTGGTGGTGAAAGCCGAGAAACTGGTAATTCCAATCAAATGAAGTGAAGAGGGCAGGCGACGCTTTGGGCACACCCTGCGGGGAGCTCTCCTACTCCAGGCTTCATGGAAGGCTTTGAAGGAAGTATTCACTAAGCTGGGACTGCATGTGTGGGAGTTGGCCCCAAGAAAGAGGAATAAGTCATAGGCTGGGCTGAAGAAACAGTATGGAGGAAGGTTGGAGGCGAGAGGCTGAGGGACATTTGAGGAATAAAAAAGAAGCCCCAGGTAGATGCAGCCTAGAGTTCAAGAAGGTGGAGTGGAAGAGGCGGGAATGGTGGGCAGAAGCCAGCCCATGGAGGGCCTGGTGAGCTGAGATAACTTTAACAACTCCCATTACCTGAAGAAAAATGGTATGCACCACAAGCTGTCCACTATAGTTAGGTTGTACTGAGCACTGACCAGGGAAGGACATATCCCTGAGTGTGACCCAGAAGTCATCATGGCACTGACCTGACATTATTAAAATTGCCTTGTGTCAATCTGCCTTCCTCGCTGGATGGCAGGCTCCCAGAGTGGGGGAGTGTGTACCTCTATGCTGGTACCTCCAACTGCTAACGTAAGGACTGCCTTTTCTCCTTTGCTTCTCTGCTTTTGTACATGCTCTAGCCCATGCATAAAACACCCTTTCCCAACTGTCTGCCTGGCCTGCTCCTCCCCAGTGGGCTCCACGGAGCCTCCTGAGGCTTCCTCCGTTGTGCTCCCATAATGCCTTGGACCCGTCACTCAGAGTGCAGTCATACCGCTTTGCGTTCCCTCCCTGGCTCTGCTTCTGGAAGGTGAGTAGCCCTGCAGACAGGTCCTGTGCCACCTTTTTACTTTTGATGGCCTGCGGAGAACCATAAAGACGATGGGGCTTAGAGTTAAAAGTGGGTGCAAGGAAAATGGCTGCATTGTTTTCAACAGAGTGTGTAGAATAAGAGTGGGGTCAGCCCAGAGGGAAAGTGGTACCAATGGAGGGAAAACGGAGGTACTCTGGCGCCATGTACGTCACACAAGTATTTTTAGGAAGAGAAGCACAATAAATCAATAGTGACAAATGCTACATAAAAGAAAGGGCCCTTGGATTTGGCAAGATGTGCTTAATGGGATGAAGAAATGGCAGTAATATGGATTTTTTTTCTCTTTCAGACAGCAATGAATGTGGATCATGAGGTTAACCTCTTAGTGGAGGAAATTCATCGTTTGGGTTCAAAAAGTAAGTATTGTAACACTGACATTTCCATTGCATTTACCTCAGAGCAAGTAGGACCAGCTTTTTTTGGTAAAAACCTAGGAAGGGGTCACTGGTGTCAGGACAGTTATGACAGCTCTGCCCTCAGTTCCAGGTGACAAGGGCCCTCAGTCAGGAAGTAATATCTGGACACACAAAGCTATTGGGGTATTGTGATTCTGATGCAAGGAATAGTTGAGATATTCCATTATCTTTTGAATGGAATGGAAATTGCTGTGCCTCGGGCTTGGCTGGCATAGCCCAGTGGATTGAGCGCAGGCTGCAAACGAAAGTGTCGCAGGTTCGATTCCCAGTCAGGGTACATGCCTGGGTTGCAGTCCATGACCCCCAGCAACCGCACATTGATGTTTCTCTCTCTCTTTCTCCCTCCATTCCCTCTCTAAAAATAAATAAATAAAATCTTTAAAAAAAAAGAAAAAAAGAAATTGCTGTGCCTCTTTAATCTGGCTGCTTTGAAATCCGCTAATTGAATCATGTTCAAATTTGTATTTGTCACACTATTAAAATTTATTTTCTGCTGTATCCTGCCAGCATTTTATAAACTTCCAAATGACTTGGGACTAAGATTAAAATGACACTAAATTGTCTTTATTTTCCCCAAATTCTTGAGTATTTATGGACATATAATTAAGCCATCCTTTAGTTTTTTTTTTTTAAGTCAGGTTTCTCTTGCAGCATATAAGCAGCTACTGTGAAATTAGTGACGTGTGTAATTGCTAGTATTAGTGTCCTTTTCCTAAGGTGAAATGAAAGTGACTATTGTGCTTGTAGCTGTGGGCATTTGTACATCTCAGGTAAGACATGAAAGATTTGGGGAGTATTTTGAAAACGTAAGAGCAATAGACATATTTAGCAACAACTAGGATAATGGAACTGAAAGTTATAAAATTACATCTTATAAGTGAAATATAACTTTAAATTACCTCATAAGAGTTGTTTTGTCATTATAGCTTGATTCTTCTTACTTATAGCTCTGTCTGCTTATGAATAACAAGACATACATTGAAAATTCCATTAAGCCATTAGTATGAAATGTCCCGTGTATTAGTTTTCTATTGCTGCCATAACATTACCACAAACGTAGTGATGTAAAACAACACATGTAATATGTTAGCAGTAATGTAGCTTAGGAGTTTTAGTTCATTGGTGCTGCTCTCACAAAATACCACAGGCCAGCTTATAAAGAGCAGAAATTTATTGCTCATAGTTGTGGAGGCTTAGAAGTCTAAGATCAGGGTGACAGCATGGTTGGGTTAAGTCTTCTTCCAGGTGCCAGATTTCTTGTATCTTCACACAGTGGACAGGGCTAGGGGTCTCTTTGCAGCCTCTTTCATGAATCCTTGTGACTCATGACTTTGAATCATTACATTCTCATGACTTTAGCATCTCCCAAAGGTCCCACCTGCTAATATCATTCCATTAGCAATTAGGAATTGAACATAAGAGTTCTGGGGTTGAGGGGGAACACAAACACTCAGACCATCGCAGAGTCTGATAAGGGTCTTCCTGGGCTAAAATCAGGGTGTTGGTGGGGTGCATTCCTTTCTGGAGGGTCTGGAGAATCTGTTTTCTAGCCTTTCCCTAGCTTCTAGAAGCAGACTGCATTCTTCGCTCCTGGCCTCTTTTCTCTACTTTCTAAGCTGCCGACATCGCATCACTCTGACTTGGTCTCCTGCCTCCCTCCTCCACGTCATAAGGACACTTGTGGTGACATTGGGCTCAGCCTCAGAGTCAAGGATAATCTCCCCATTTCAGGGTCCTTAATTTAGTCTCATCTACAAATGTCCCATTGCTGTGTAGAGTAACGTGTTCACGGGTTCTGGGCTTAGGACACAGATACCTTTGGGGGCCATTATACTTTCTGTCACCTCCCCTTCGTGGTCTTCGCAGGCACTTTATTTCTTCTCCAAACCTGAGTTGTCATCACTGATATATACCAAGAGAAAAATAAACTAGGCTTATAAAAGTTGGTGTGGACTCAACAACCAAGTTTAATCACTGGGTCAGGTACTACTTGTTGGGAATCTCTACATGCCAAGCACTGTGTGAGTACCAATGACATAGAGTGTGTTCCTGTCCCTCAAGGATCTTACTACAATACTTAGCTGAGAAAAATAGATTAAAAGCTTAGGAGGCAGTTATCAGAAAAAAATGGCATGCTAAACTGTGAGGTGCTGACATCCGATTCAGGACAGTCCCAGAGATCTAGGTGAGTGGAAACGGTAGTTTTGAGGCACTTGGTGAATCCTTAACTAGCAAGTCGGACTTTGAAGTGCAGGACAGGCCAGTTTAGGAGATACGTGTGAGGAGACAGTGGAGGATGTCATTTGTTTAGTTTACTCTCTCAGACCAGTGAGCAACCTTTCCTAACCCCACTTTTCTCCCACCCGCTGGGTGGAAGTTTTGGTGAGTCTTGTTTTCAATAGCACTGCCTCTACCTGTGGTCCTCATTTCTGCATTCCCAGGTTCTCATGAGCTCTGGGAGGTCATGTTACTCCTGGGAGTAGCACAGTTGTGTACTACAGGGATTAAAGATGCATTTCTAAAGATTTGTAGCATTCTTTTTTCTCTTAGCTCTTTCTCCATCTCCGCTTAGTGTTTATTGGTCAAAGTCTTGTACTTAAAAGTTTAACCTCTATATCCTGTTTGACAAGGGTGAACTGAACCTCCGCTCCAAAATTAGCAGCTTTACAAACTAGAAGACAACAAAGTAATTATCATAAATTAGGCCTTCTTGACTTACCTATTTCTGATCATGGATGGCTTATGAATTGGAAAGTATCTATGGAGATATGTTATCTACTGACACGTTATGGTAAATTATTTAAGTTGTGTCTGGAATACTTTTGGTGAATCTAAATTATGATATAGATTAATCCTATGTAGATTAATCTAAATATGATATATCAGTGAAGGTGGGAATTGGTGACCTTAGTTTTATCTGTTTCTTTTAAAAGAAAACTTTTTTCTCATTTCCCATCCAGTAGGAAAAAATTAAGTGGATAAATATTATTTAGAGATTTAAGTTCTTTCATTCAAGAAATATTTCTTGAGTGCTGCTTTTACGCTTAAGTGCTGGAAATGTGAAAGCAAACAAGATTCCAACTCTGCCCTTGTGGGTCCCTCTGGGTGGCAGGTGGAGAGACAGCACACTGAGAGTCGGTGCCAGGAAGTGGCCGAAAGCACGTGCTCTGGAGCCGGACTCCAGGAACACGTCCCAGCTCCTGAACAGGCGTGCCGTGGGGCCTTGGGAACATTGCTCAGCTTTTCTGTGCCTTGGTCTCCTTAGTTGTAGATGAATAATACTCTGTTTTGCTCAAAGATACTTTATTTTTTCGCACTTGGAAATTTCTAAAATAAGGATGTATCTTCTCCTACATGGTGTGTGGTAGTTAAATTGGTGGTTCAGTTGGAACATAAAATAATGGTCCCTCTTGAAATTAATTATGTCTTTGATGAAATGAGGATTAAGTGAGGTTTAATGACTGTAAAATGCATTGAATAGTTCCAGCAACACATTAATATCAATAAATGTTAACTATTATTACTATAATTAATGGTGAGTTCTTTGACAACTGTATATTTAATTTTATGAGACGAGCTATTAACACAGCTGAGGGCTTCTCAGAGAAGGTGACATTTGAGTCCATTTTTTTAAAGATTTTATTTATTTATTTTTAGAGAGAGGGGGAGAAGAGGGGGAAAGAGAGGTAGAAAAACATCAGTGTGTGGTTGCCTCTCTCATGGTCCCTACTGGGGACCCAGCCCACAATCCAGGCATGTGCCCTGCCTGGGAATTGAACCAGTGACTCTTTGGTTTGCAGGCTGGCACCCAATCCACTGAGCCACACCAGCCAGGGCAAGAGTCCATTCTTAAAGAAAAAGAATTTAGCTTGGGAAAGGGGTCTGGGTGCTGGGCAGATGGCTCAGTGTAGGTACAATTACCAAGGCAGAGTTTTTCATGTCACCTGGGATAGCAGCAGGTTGTTCGTTTTAGCTGCATCAGAAGGTGCATGGAGCAATGTGGCAGGAGACCAGGCAAGAGATGAGTACAAAGGCCAGCGGATGAGGAATCTTATCTGTGAGGCCACAACTTCACTTTATTTTAAGGGTAATAAGGAGCCATTGAAAAATTAAAGCAGAAGGTTGTCAATCAAGTTGCATCTTGTAGATTTTTCCACGTTTGAAAATTCTGTACCAATATAAAGGATGTATTGGGGGTCAAAATGGAGAAAGGGAGGCTGGTAAGGAGTCTCTAAGTTACCCACATGAGAATCAGTCCAGGCCTGAACGAGGGAATTAATTGTCCACCGAGAGGAGAAGCTAGAGCGACAGAAGACACAAAGAAAGTGGTATTGCTTGTGAGGCTGAGGGGCGAACGGGCAGAACTCCAAGATTACACCCAGGTTACTGCCTTTGGCGCCTTTACAGTATTTAATCTGAATTTACCATGCGCCAGGCACTCTATAAAAGACTTTACCGACATTCATCTTGTAATCCTTGTAACAGCCCTGTGAGGGCTACATTCACCCTCATTTTATGGATGAGATGACTGCAGCTCAGGGATCTCGAAGGGCCTGCCCAAGGTCACCCAGCAGCTGCACTTATTTCTGGAATTGGTGAAACGGAGTTTCACTGCTAGAAGTTGAAAAAAATCAAAGAGGTTACATCTTTGCTTTCCAGGCCAAGCACAGTCAGATTCTCTGTTTTTATTTACAAACTTACTCTTTTTTTCTTCTCATCTTAGCTTACTTGACACGAATCACTCTAGTTACGCAGTGACTCTGGCTTGGGACACTCCTGCATTTCTCTTACTCGTAATTGAGCCAGTGATCGCTGACCGACTGCAGAGTGCATGCTGGCCATTGTGTTGTGTGTTTTGGAACTGTGGCCGCCAACAACCCTGTGCAGAGGTTTAAGATTCCAATTTTACAGATGAGGAAACTGAGGCTTAGTGAGCTTAAGCAAGTTGCCCAAGGCCAAACAACTACTGGGTGGCAGAGATTTCATCTGAGGACTGTTCTGTGAAACTCCCCTTTAAAGTCCAGAACAGCGACTGCCTCCTTCGGCAAGCCTGTCTTCACCATTCTCGCCCAAAGCCATCTTGGCTGTTCCAAACTAACCTGTCTTTGCTGCTCCCTGGGGTCCAATCACACACTGCGTTGCACTGTCGCTTGGTTAGGCATATACTATTTGCTGCCTTGCAGGATTTGAAGTCATTTCTTTGGAAGCTAGAAAGTGATTCAATGGTTCCTTCTGTCTGCCTCCAGTGCCCAGCACAGCGCTGCATTCACAAGGGGAGGCTACTCAGGGCTTCAGGTTGGAAGTTCTAGCAGGGGAGCACAGGAACCCAAGAACCTTGGCCAGAGAATGGTTCCCTCTCACCGAGAAGGCCATCTTCTTGACAGTGGCGCAGCTTTCGGAGGGAAGAAGGTGAAGCAGTGCTGTAGGAAGGAGGTCAGGGGATCAGCCAGGCAGGTCGAAGGAATCAACCAACCATGGGGAGGTGTCTCCGATTACCCTTATCTCTGAGTTTTCAGTGGATAGATTTTAACCAAAGATCCTCCTTTTGCTTACCTTAATTTTTAAAAGAAACCTCTATTGTCTAAGAGCAGTTCTGGAGTTTCAATCAAGTTGAGAATAAAGGACAGAGGTTTCCCAGTTACGTCCTACTCCGCCACATGCATAGTCCCCCATCGTCAACGCCCCGACCGCACACTTTTACTGTCGGCAAACCTGCCTTGACACACCAGCCACAGTCCGTGGTTTACATGAGGGGTTCAGTCTTGGTGTGGTACATTCTGAGGGTTTGGACAAACTTACAATACATGCATCCATCATTACAGTTATCATACAGGGTATTCGTACTGCGCTAAAAATCCTCTGTGCTCTGCCTGTACATCGCTCCCCCACCCTAACTTGTGAAAACCACTGATCATTTTACTTTGTTTTAGCTTTATTTCATACTTTTTGCCTTTTCTAGAATGTTCCGTAGTTGGAATCCTTCAGCATGTAGCCTTTTCAGATTGCCTTCTTTCACTTAGTAATATGTTTCTAAGGCACCTCCATGTCTTTTCATGGCTTGAGAACTCATTTCTTTTTAGTGTTCACCCTGATTTTTAACATCTGTGTTAAAAACTGGCCTCTGATCTAGGTAATCTAGGTATCTTAGTAAATACAGATTTCTTCATTTTTCAGGTCATTGATCCCTCCCTGGGGGTTCCGAGCACATTCAGAATACACCTAGAGAAGCATTGCTCCTGACCTGGGGTTTCTCTTGTATTTGTTATTTTTACTGATTCAACAACTAACATAACAATTAAATTGAAATCTAGGCAGAGAGAAATTGGTCCACAGTAATAAGTAGCACTGTAACACATTCTTTTGTAAACGTTTCTTAGGTTTCTTCCTGTCTGCCAAGATAATACTAAGGCTGGGACGCATGCAGTGTGTTATATTTATTTAATCACTTTTTGGGTCTGGCAACAGGTTACCTTGAATTTATGACTATTAAATGTTGAATTGTAATTTTAGTTAACTTCCAGGTAGATGTTTATTAAAGATTATGTAACTCTTTCGTACATGGGAGCGAGAAACAGAGTTTGCATTGGCTAACGTTGTATTTTCTCAAATTAGATGCTGATGGGAAGTTAAGTGTGAAGTTTGGGGTCCTCTTCCGAGATGACAGATGTGCCAACCTCTTTGAAGCATTGGTAGGAACTCTCAAAGCTGCAAAACGAAGAAAGATTGTTACATACGCTGGAGAGCTGCTTTTGCAAGGTGTTCATGATGATGTTGATATTATATTGCTGCAAGATTAATGTAGTTTGCCTATCATCGTTTACTGTTATTTTCTGGTAAACTGGAATATTTTCAAGCCGAAGGGCAAACATGAGCATACTTAATGTATTTTTATAGACCTTGTAAACAAAAAGAGATGTTTTAGAAGTCCATCCTTTTTATATTTTGGAAGAAAATTTATGTATTACACTGTCAAACAAAATCTATTATTTTTCTCAGGAATCTGGTTGGAAAATGTAGACATTGAGGCTTTTTTTTTTTTTTGGTGGGCGTGTGAGAGTGTTTCATAAATCATTCTTAGACAATTTCTACAGATAATTGACATTCTGTGAAAGCAAGAAGCAAACTGAAAACCAGTTCCCCCAAAGAATATTATAATGTTTATGTAATAAAAACATGTAGCTATCTTAAAAGTGCCTTATTGTCTTATTTTGCCATTGAAGATTTATGTGCCTCTCAGAATCGAGTTTTTGCATCAAGAATAGGTAACTGCAGTAATTCTTAATTTGCATAAAAACTCTCTTAAAGCTACAGAATCGTTTAAAAATTAAAAAGTAAGGATGGTTAGTGTTATGGTGGGGCCCCATTAAAAAAATACTGCTTTTGATGCCTATCGCGTGCTTACATGGAGTTGGGGGCATGCCAAAACGCATAACCCAAAAACTTCACTTTCCAGTTGGGTTAGTTAGACCCACCTGACAGGATTGTCTGTAATTGCATGTTGCAGCCTGTAGTACAGGATGGAAAATGATCTGGAATCTCAAGGAGGGTAGAATCAGTGAAAGCCATAATGACTGGAAAAGATATCATAGAGGAGGCCGAATTTGCATGATCAGAGTCGATTATCCCAGAGGGAGAAGTGGGGCTAGTGAGGGTGATGCCTCAAGGTAAGCCAGAGGGACATGAATTAGCAGCACAGGAGCTTGTGAAAGGTCAGAAGATGTCAGGTTGGCTGAAACATTAGGGAGAGAGGTGACTTGGGCTGGGTAATTTAGGTGGGAGCTGGGAAGCCGGGGGTTTGCGGGATGAAGGTGCTGTTTCTCTCTGGCACTGGTAGCCAGGGTGGGTGGTAGAGAGTAAAGATGCAGTCAGAGAGGCCCACTAAAACATTGCTCAGGAATCTCCTGGGGGTGGTGATAATGGAGGGGCAATGAAGGATGGACCTCCCGCACATTTTGAAGGAAATTGAAACGTCAGTATTTTTTTTTATTGTGACAGGATCTCAATTCAAACTAGATTAAACAACAGAGTTCACTGGCACTTCAGAGCCATTGCTAATGTTTATTGGGCATTTACAATGCTAATTAATCCTCACATCACCCTGTGAGGTAAGTATTAATATTATCTCCCATTCTATAGATAAAGTAAGAGAAGCTCAAGAAAGTTAAGTAGCTTTTCCAGGTTCACCTACTTAGACAGTGGGTAAATAGGAATTTTGAAATTAGAGTCATCTAAATGGCAAGTCCAGGGACAGGATAAACTTCAGGCATGGCTGGCTCTGGGGACCCAAGCAATGTTGTCAAAACTCTGTCTTTCCGTATTGACCCTGACACCTTTGGTTCAATTCCATTCTCTACTTTAAATAGTCTTTCAGCATACAGCCAGGGAGAGAGGCCTGCTGATAGTGGCGAATTCACATAATCTGAATTAATCACATACTAGAGATTAACAACCCCAGTGGAAAGAAAATTGATTATATCTAATAAGTCCTAAGAAAGGGACTTGGGCCCCACTTGCAGCTCAAGCCTGCCCCTTTGGCCAATAACATTTGGCAGAGGGTGAGACGCAGGGAACTGACAGAACTAGGTCACATTTGAGCAAAGGTGCAGTAGGGTACCGTGCTTCGTGTCCTCACCTCAGGTAGGAGAGGTAGTTCCCCAAAGGAGAGGTGCATGGTATATGGGAATGACATATGTTCGCTCCAGGTACAAGAGTCCCTTTGAAGGAGATCCAGAAAACCATGTGGCAGATAAAGGGTAAATGAGAGGGAATAGTTAAAAGCTACCACCATATGCGGGCTCAGTGACAGAGAGAATCACGTGTTAGCAGAGACAGGGAAATTGGATGGAATAAGAGGGCCGGTTTTAGGAACGTTTCATTTGAGCACGGTGAATTTGAGGTGGGTAAGGGAAATGTGCAGTAAGCAGGCAAGGATTTGGTTGTAGAACACAAGTGAGGATTCAGGAGTGTAGACAGACTTGAGAATTAAGACTCAAAATCGATTTCCATCTCAATTTTGATATGTGTAAGTGATCATAATTCTGTATTATTATCATTAAATTGAAAATTTAACAATCGGGCACTTAGAAGACACAGAGGACACAATCCACAGGCTTTGTAAAAGCCTGGGCAGCACTGGAGCCTCCGGGTTTGTTACTCACTAACTTCCTTTCTTGGAGTCAGTGGTAGTTCCGCATTTCCTCCTCTGGTTGCTGGGAGGCTGTGACTACTTTAGCAAATGGAATACAGTATAAGTGATGCTAGTGATTTCGGAGGGTGGGCCAGAAGTGACCAAAAAGCATGTTGAGAGGGAGACAGAGTTTCAGGGATGGCTTGATGAAGCAAATCAATGATGTCACCAAAATCCTGGATTTTTTTTCCCCTGTTTGTGCGTTTTGCCTTCTGTGATATAAATTTCATTCATTTCATTCTAAGTCTCACTTTCTTCTTGGTCAAAAAATAGCTGTCTCAGAATGCTTCAGCCTCCAGGTCATCCAGGCAGAGCTGGGGATCAGGACCGGAGGTACAGGTGCCAGGAGAAGCCCAGACAGATCTCCTTCCTGGAGCATGTGGGATTTAGCCCATTAGGTAATGCAGTCTAGGCTGATAGTATCTTATTTCATGTGTGTGTGTTCGGCAGCAACAAAAGAGGAAGTGGTAGAAGAAATTTCACTTATCTGGAAATGGTAGATACCACAAAATTTAAAAACGGGTGTAGAAACATAATTATTTGGGAGCAGAATTTATTGAGACTTTATCTAATTGCCCTGCAATGCAATAATAATCATGTATATCATTAAATGGGTGCCAAATTAATTTTGTGGAGTGCACTATTTGATGAAAATAGTGAACGGTCTACATATATTCAATATTTATTGGGTGTTGACATTGTAACCAGCAGAGAAGGTGCTCGCTGACGTCTGGCTGCAAAGGGTATTAGCACCAAGAGCCCATAATAAGGTGAGGCATTTGGGAGCTGGAGTTAATCACAGAGTTCAGACTTTACCACGGCAGCCAGGACACACTCAGCAAATTAAAGAACTAGGCGCTTGGTGGGGAGTAGCGAACAAATGTAATAACCTCCAAGTCTTGATTTCTCCTCATCTGCAATATGGGGAAAATCATTAATACCTTACTCTTAGGGTTATTATGAGGATTAATGTCTGAAATGCAGTAATTGCTCAATAATTGTTAGTTGTTACAATCATTTGTCTTGTCAGGGACGTTGTTGGGATTGCAGTTGTTATCATTATGTGTTTGATGCAGGACTGAAAGTAACTGGAACATCAAGGGTGACTTAGGACAAACAGAGGAAGTGGTCACAGTCAAGGTGTCTCGGAATCAGACTTCCAGGGGAGGAGAGAAGGCTTAGTGAAAGTCGTAGGACTGAATTCAGAGGGCGGTTTAGAAATTTTAGTTTTTATTTTGGTGGGTTTTGGTAGGAAAGCCAAATCCCTTTCTTCCATCTCTCAACATACCGTTATCCCTCCTATGGAGACCTGGTCTTTTGTTCACTGATGAACTCCAGTCCCGAGAGCAGTGCTGGCACTTAATACATGCTTAATAAATCACTGTTGAATGAGTGGGTGAATGAAAGGGTGGACGGATGAATCAGTGTCGCAGAAGAGCTTGGTTGCTGTTCTGAGCATCAGAAGTATGCTCATGTATCATGGTCACTTACAACTTAAAATAACAAGAAGGAGTATGGGTTGGCAGTTACAGTTCTTTGGTTTGGCGATGTACTGTAGTTTTTTTTAAAAATCTGTTTTGGCAGCTTTTATTATACAGTGTGTGAATGATAAATGAGTACTTTCTTACAGAAAGGTAACACATGGCTCCTGTATTTTATGAAATAACAAACCTTTCATTTCATCGCCAGCTTTTTAGAATATGTTTCATAATTAGAGAAATAAAAAATGAGCCTTTGCAAGGCTGTGCCAAAATGGAAAAATTTTGGGATGAATCCAAAACCAGCTAGTCTCAGGCAGTGCATATCTGGGGACAAAGCTCTGCATACATAGGAGCTTGAGATGCAGGAGAAGGGATAGCAGTTGCCTTCCCAGAGAGTTGGGTGCAGCAGAAGTTCCCACTGTGACAGGCCTGGCTGATGAGGCTGTTTCTGAGTAGGACCTTCTGAAGTCATTACAGAATCAGAGTAGGGAATGGTTGATTTGGATAAAGGTTTGGAGAACTTTTATTTTGGAATGACAATCAGGTTGGGAGTTTGGAGAGACTTCAAACTGTGGTTTGAGAGAGAGGTAATGACAAAGATAAGAGGAGACTGCAGAATCAAGAAAAGGGAGCTTACTAGTGGATCTGGGGCAGAGATACCAGTGGAGGAGGAACAGGGCAGCACATGGCTTAAAGGAACAGTTGTTTGCATGTTCTACTTTAGTATAATGGTTTCCATAATGGGGTTCGTTGTGGGCCCCCGTGAGGAGCCCACAACTGATTTAAACACGCTAGGTATTTCTTTGGTGGTTAGAGGCAAGTTATTTTCATTTTACATAGGGCTAAGAGATGCTAACTAATAACCTACTAAGGAAGCTAAGAGTTGCCATACTTAGTTGTCTGTTAAGCTGAAATTAGTGTGACTATCACCGCTGACAAAGCAGCTGACTCAAAACCTACTGCAAAAGTTGGTCTGTAGTCAGCGCTGTGCATATTATGAAGCGTGTATCGAGTGCACATGTGGTGAGGTCGGAATCCCCACTTTGAAGGGGCACCTTGTTAACGGTGTATCATCAGTGTTTTATCGAGCTGATCACAATTTCTAATTGCTGCCATTCTGGCTGCTTAATGACTAACTGTGGATTTAGCTTCATTATTTTAAATTTGTTGGTTGTTTGATTACAACGTTGCAAGTGGTGACACATATTTGAGGCAATGGTATTTTTGGCCTATAATTTCCCCTGGAGCTAGAGTTTGAGATATGAATAACCCCTACTCTCTACTGCTAGAGAATATTGTGTACAGAAACCCCACAATAAGTACTTATAGAGCTAGAGTTTACTTTCTTCACTCAGTTCTTTCTCTAGTGGAAATGAGACTATTTAGTGGCGCTTGGGTCATTTCCCTTGCTTAATGTACTATGGTCCAAAAAGTTTGAAATACAACGTTTAAACATTTTTTTAAGATTTTATTTATTTATTTTTAGAGAGGGGAAGGGAGGAAGGAAGAGAGAGAGAGAACC